GCATGTGCTTGGGTGTCGCGTGCGTGTGAGAGTTCGTGTTATTTGTGTGTTTTGTACGTTGTCTGTTGGCCCAACAACTATACTTTTTTTTGTGTTTTTTTTTTTTTTTTTTTTTTTTTTACTTTTTCAGCGCCGGCCAGGGATCCTGGCTCAGTGGCTTGATGGCCCAATCTCGGCCCCTCGGAAGGGCTCGCCGACACCCAGAACCCAGAACCAAGATGTGGCGCAGTCGTTCCTAAGGTAGTTCTATCTAAATCACAGTCACCGCTCGGACAGGTTACCGTGGTACTTTGACTAGGTACGGAGTAGCTCCTTGTTGAGACGCAGTGGGCTTCCCTTGCATCAGAAGCTTATGCACAGTGCATGCACCGTGGATGTGTCAGGTAGACAATTCCCTTTCGCCTACTTGTACTACAGTCTATCAGTCGAGACCTGAGAGCGCGCAAACACTATTAGGTACTTCTGACTCACCGGTCTAAAGAGTGATTGATACGATTGAGCTATGATGATGGCGAGACTTACTTGGAATCATGATCTGAACCTGGTAAATGAGCGTTGTGCCGAATGCGACTTGCATGCGAACGCTATGCAGGGAGCAAGGTACCCTGCAATCCTCAGGCATCAGTACATGACATGGACGTTGCGATGCATGACCAAGGCTGTGACCATGGCCTTGAGCATGTTGGACCTGGTTTATGGGCGTGGACAGGTGTGCATATCGTATTCTCAGGTGATTTTCAAAGAAACAGGTTCTGAAAAGACCCGAGTCATCAAACAGAGGTACACAGCATGTGAAATTCCTTCCTCGAGATGGCCAATCATGCACGCAGAATAGAGAGTCTCGATGAAATGCAATAGGCGCTGTATCCAGACCTCGAACAGTCGAAAAGTTTGGGCCAGTCATTTGCTTGGTAGTGTTCACATAGTTGTCGCCCTTGCGTGGTACAAAATCTACAGGCTTACAGCGCATACCTCCATTCACGGCTGTAGTTTCATGCGCACGAGATACAATGCGATTGAGTAACGGGTTCGACGGCAAGCTTCGTCTTGCCCCTTTGGGTATATCGGATGGAGTGCGTGAGTAGACCGTTACGTGTACTATCCTTGCTTCTCTTCCCTTCGCATCCTGTTTTGACTCTTCTCGCTTCGATTGTTTTCGAAATTAGTCAAAAATGGTGCAATTGGCGCCTAGAACGACTGCTAATCAACTCCTAGCACCGTGACGTCGAGTCAACTCATTCGATTGGGTGCAATCATACAACGCCCCATCGTGTGATACCTGATCAATGGATGATCAGCGTAATGTCAAACTGAGCGGAGTAAATCGATCGACACCTTCATCGCATGCCTCAACCAGATGACCAGGTTCATTGATGTAAATAGAGTTGGCACAAAGTACCAACGAACGACTCGAAGTTAGAGCAGAGGGAACTTGACCGAGGATCGCCCTGAGCCCGTGTCAAGAACCCTAGACAGCAGTAGCTTATCGATCGACCCAGAAAACCAGGTCAACTGAGCCGACCGGCCGGCAGATCCGTTCAGCACCTTGCTTTTTTTTCTTTCTTGTGGCTCGGGTCTGATCTGGAATTCTGAATGGTGTTCGACATCGACACTATTGACTTTTAGCGCGAATAGTTGTTTGCAACTCCACCTTGTGGCGCAGGCGCACTAGCCACACGGCCTGAGCTGAGCCGTCTTTCGAAATCGAGCTGAAATGATAAATTTCTAAGTCAATGTAACCATTCTGGTGTCGCCATATTGAAACCACAGACCTTCGCCTGACACTCGTATCGCGATATCTGGTCCGGTCGTCAAAGTGTGCGAGATCTCGAGTGACGATCATTGGACTGATTGTGCTGGTACCCGATGCGGCAATTGACACTGGGTACCTTAGCTGTCACCGCTTCTGCCTCACCGCGCTACGGGCGACTTGGGATGATAGCTTAGTTGATTATCAATCCTGTTGGGCCAGAGGAATAGCTCACGGGATATGTGGGTTACAACAAATGGTCAACCCCTCATCATCGACGTCATGGTAGGCTTGGTTCAGCGCCGACCAGCGCTGGGCGAAGACACGCCTCCAAGGCCTCAACCTCAAAAATCACAATTGCAAAAATGTGCTTGACAGGTGCCTCCAATCAAGCAAACTGTTGATCAATCAAGAATCTAGCGGCCTTGATCAGCAAGAGACCGGCCGGCAAAAGCCTCACTCCAAATTATAGAATGGCCCAAACGGGCATGTCGAGGATGGTGCATCATCCTCTTGGAGCGAACTGGATTAGCACAGATCCTGAATGGTTCATGGAGCCGAAGAAGCGAACAAACAAGTCCGTCGAGGTGGTACCCTGCTAAATTTTGTGAATCGCTATAGCCGCTTGTCCTGGAGGTGGCTGATTCTATGACATCGAGCTCAATAAGTCACAAATACACTTTCGTCGGGCCGGTATCATGGACGCTATTTTCTGCCAGGACCACCGTTTCCTTGAGTGCATGATGAGTTGCCCGACAGACAACTCATCGCGGTCATCCTTTGTCTCGATGGACACATTCCCAGGCCAGCCATGGGTTCACCTCCCGAAGGCATAGTCCCGACGGGCAGCAGCCATAGGTTGCAATGCTTTGACTTGAAGAGTTTGGTCAACTGAACGAACATGTGCTGCACTCGCTTCGCAACGAACTTCCCAGTCGCGGCAATCCCACATCAAGTGACGTGCCGATCTCACGAACCCCAATGTCGCTGGTAATATCCCCGAATTTGTCTCAAAGAGCATCCGAGTCAGGCGGGGTGACAGTACGACTCACGTTGCCCGCACACCGTAGTGATTTCTTATCCAGTCAACCAGGATCGGGAGACCGGTCCTATAGACCTCGACGACATGCACACCCCTGAGTGCTATACAGTAGTGTGTTTTTTTCTCGCCATTCGTATTCTTTCCTGGCCTCTAACAGTGAGCATTAGCGCGAATACGCAGTGTGAATAATCCTCGAGGGTCTACCCTCATCTTCTGAGGGGACGAGTCAAGAAATCATGTTGAATTTGCCCAGCAGTAGTTTTGAGCGAGTTATGTTCTGAATCTTCATCTGGAATATTTGATTTCGGACCACAGCCTCGTAACTGTGACAGATAGACTGAAGGATCAGAACCTTGCATGTGGCATATTGCACGGTAGACATTGGTTAAGCTTCGAGTTCGAGCGGTGCTTCAGTAGAGCGGCTTTCACTTTATGTATGTACATGCTGGTGCCTTGTCCGGCCTCCATACGAGCGCGAATGCGGTGAAACATCATTGTTGCTAACGTCCAACAAGAGCTCGGCGGAGTGTTACGCCGTGTCTTCAAACAATTGGATTGCTTCGCGGCACTAGCAGAAACGAGCTCGCTTATGCAAAGTACCACGTCGCCGTTGCGCTCTGAGTCAACGTGACTGCTGACGCCCTGACATTGGAGATGCGCCCGTGCCAGGATGATCCCAGAAGATCCTGGCAATTGAAGCCGGTCATGAGCAACTCCAAAGGAGTAATCGACAGCGAGATTGCAACAGTCGTTTTCAAGAGTAAATTTTTCTCGGGCTAGAATTTCACATCTCTTCGAACCGCGACCGTAGAATGCAACGAGTACGTAGGGAACGATGTTGCGGCATTGCCCTGGACTTTGTGGCTCAAAAGATACCATATCCTTTCCACCAAACACCCCAGATCAACGGCCCCAGTGCACCTAGAGCAGCTGCGCCCACTGGAATTTCCAGAATGCTCCAGACCCATAAAGTTCCGATGGCAGGGGCTCGCTTCATCACAGCATAGTATGGGTCCTCGTTGGTCATAGTCATCAGCTTGCTCCCCAGGAGGACGGCAACAGGTAGAAACGCCATCGTTCGCAGACTCGGAGGAAAAAGCAAATTCCGAACGAAAGAAAGCGTGAGCTTGTCTTGAGACCAAGGGAAGAGCGAGACTTTCTCCTGCTTCGTATTCCCCCTATGCACTGATACAATGTGCCCATGAGCAAGATGGATGAGAAGCGTCAGCATGGGAAATGCAATAAACGCAGACTCGCGCAGGAGCTTTTCCATCTCGATTGTTTCCGCGTATTGGTGAGCCGCCAGGTACGCCAGTGTAAGGTGTAATGTTGTCAATGGCACGGAGAGTAGGAGCGTATCGATCAATGGGGGAATCGGTGCATCAATGCCGTCCTCAGCTGTGTCCGGCTCAATGTGCGACCCCTCAGTCGCCGGTTCTGCCGAGTCGCCCTCATCTCTTTGTTCTTTAGAAGGCATTGACGGGTTGAACTGAGAAATCTGGCCAGATAACGGATCCACGGTCATGAATTGCGTTTCTGGACCTGACTTTGTAGCACCCCGTATCCCCCTGGTGCTCTGTTCCTTGCCCAAAATTTCATTTTGTCTTTCAGCAATGAGTTCCACCAACGTCTTTCCCCTCGGTACGTGGTCGGGGCGAGTTCCTTGAGGATGGGCTAAAGGGATCGAGGATGGATTGAACGAGGAATCTAGGGTGGAAGCTGCGGTTGCAGCTGCTGCTCGTCGCTGTTTTCGATTCCTGGGACCCTCCATCTTAGAAAAGTTGCTACGCGGAAGGTTCGCAAGGCTGTAGACTTGTGGTTGATGGTCTTCGTGGGGAATAGGATAAGGATTGGCATTTGTTGATGGAGGAAGCACAAAGCTGGCCAAAACGACGGGATCGCCTCGGGAGTTTAGCGGGGTTACCCTTTCACGTCTACCTTTACCTATCTCAGTCTCACCAAGTAGTAATCGTTTACACCCACAACAAGAACAGCAGATATATGTCATTGGAAAATTCATCATTAATGGACATTTTGAAGAATAAGAGGCATCATCCCCGTTTCCCTTTACTTCTGGCAATTACATGATCACTCAAAACTTCAAACAAAATATATCATCTAGCACTCCATACTTCATTCTACCACGCTGGATTGGATCAGCTTAGCCAGCTTGGTAAAGAGCTGGGCCGGCAACCACATGAGGGTTGACGCTGCTCAAGTTAAACGGAGTCAGGTAAGGATCAGAGTCCGTGATTGCGATAAAGATGGTACCATTGATCGCTGGGTCACCGGCATAGGTCGACAAGTCGGGCTGAACGGTCATTCCATAGCTTCCGTTGCCACTGGTTGTCAGTGGCGAGTACGTGACATTCAACTGCGAAGCCCACAGGACGTATTTCGGGGCCCCCGCAGTCGTGTTCGTGATGTAGCTGTTGTTTGGTCCCACAGGACGACCAGGAGCGTCCCACGACAGGGTAACTGTTCGACCCGGGTAGGAAAGGGGGTTTGTTCGATTGTGGGTGATTGCCGGGCTGCAGTTCTCGCCCACGGTCGTCTTGTTCAGACACGAGTCGGGTGCGCTCACGTTCCGGCTGCTCAAAACGTTCATGCCGCCACCTGGAAGAGTTTCATTGACCGCAGACGATCCATTGATCCGGTAAGGATTTGGCTGGTTCTCAATATACAATGCCGGGAAGTTCTGCCATACCAGTCTCGTCTGGTTGGCAGGGCAGTAGCTGATATATGGAGCCAACAGTGTCCATGCCCAGGACTGGGGCACCCCAACCTCGAACCACACAGGCATTGGGAAGAGACCTTCAAACTGGCGGAAGATGAGCTGCTGGCGAGCCTCTGTGGTAATAGACTGGGTCAGGAGGATCGCTGCCTCTCGCGAATCCAGGTGAGTTATGAAGCCGTAGACACCAGCTTCTCCGAAGCGGCTGAGCTTTTGGCAGAAATCTATGAACTCATGCACGTTGGTGTAAGGGTAGTTGTAGACGCATTGTCTAGGAGCCTGAGCACCCAGGATGTTGGTCAGCATTGTTGCATGTCCAAGCTCCTGGTCAGCCATGAATTCAATCAAGAATCGGTCTTCTGCCGTGAGACCAGCGGCAGTGAAATCCTCTACAGAGAATCGAGCCAGACCATCGTGGAACAGGTCCAGCTCGATGTACTCTTGGTAGAGCGCAAGGGCCTGGCAGCAGTCAGCTAATGTTCTCAAAGCTAATCGGTGGAAGCCTACCAGAGACTCGTAATCAAAGTCGCTCTTCGCGTTGTAGATAGGAGCTGACCCGTTCGTCCCAACGCCGCCTGCCGGTGCATAAGGAGCCGGCTGGGGGTCGTGGAGCTTTCCATCGCTTGGGTAGCTGGTAGCTCCTGGAGCCGGTCCCAGAGTCGGAACCCCGGAGCCAATAGAGCTGGCACGCTCGGCTCCAGTGGTCGTGGGAGTGCCGGTATAAGAAGTGTGCGGTAACGAGGTTGGGTGGCTCACGGCAGGTGGCACCGAAATCGACGGGGTGTCGGTAGCTCTCTTCGCATTAGGGGCTGCAAGGGTGGAAGGGAGGCCACCCAGCACGTTGATTAGCAGAAATTGTCTCCAATTCATGGTGAAGGGGAAAAGGGCGATATCCTCCTGACGTCCAGAAGGCAATTGAGATGCTGCCCAGTGATGGCTGGAGAATCTTGCCAGCGTCCAGGGTGCAGCTACATATAAGGGCCAGCTGGTCAGAGCTGAGTGTTCGCAATTGACGCAACTAGTTCGTGATCAAGGCATGACGTTGTCACTCATGTTGCTGAGGTTTCCAGATCTGGGCTGCTATCCATCGGTCCTACTGGAAACGCATCGTTCCGGCGTCATAACATGATTTCTCTCCCGAATTATCAAATCAGCATCGGAGTTTGTCTCCAGAGGAGTTCGCACACCAAGTACCCTGGTGGTATCGATTCGTGGTTAGTCAACATCAAGGTGTATCGTCATGCTATAGTCAGCCATGAACGAATGCCCTCATGGTGGAAAGGTGGAGTAACTGGTATAGCTCCTGCTCTGAAATTCCGCCGGTGAGTAGGAAACGCCACCCCGCAAGGAGAACAGATTTCGAAATTTCGTTATACATTTGAAATTCTATAAACAGAATGCGTGATTCATCAAGCAAATCATCGTTGAGCAATCGGTGGTCCGCGGACACGAGCAGCATTGGATACTGGGATTCGTCCGCAACATCGGGCATTCACGAGTCATGACATATAAGTATCGCAAAAGATCTGCTTTTCATAGGTAAACAGGTTCCTCTTCCGATGTTCCGATCCTATCAATTGATCTAACAGTAAAGTGGATGTAGCGGACCTCCCGGTTACTATGACGTGGGAACAAGATCATCAGAGTTGACTTAAAGGAAGAGGAATCCGGGCAGTAAATCGTCAGCAGAATTCTGTTGTGTCGCCGGATTTTCGGATAGATGACTCGGAAATAGATACTCAATAGCTTTAGAGTGTTTCCTTCTGCTGCGATCGTTGTCTTGGTCGGGTTCGTTCTATGCGAAGACTGATCGATTACCGGAATAGATGATTTTTGCATAAGAGGTTCAGATAAGCATTCCGGCTTTTTTTGCTTGCTGATCTGGGTCTTTCGGAAAGACTTGAAGCATGAACTGCAGATGTCTGTCACATCACGATTCGAGTTACCAGGATTTATGGGCTGTTGGTGTCGATCATGCATATCCCTAGCCTTGTCTACCTCGGATGCGAGCATCGCCCTCACACATAACAGATTGCACTTACTTATCCCCACCCGTACTGCTCCAGGAACAACAATTCGGACACTGTTTTCTGGGCTTGTCGAATTTTTAAACCTAGGTTTAATAACGGAGAAAGTCCATCAAGGAGCATTGCTGGAGCGTGGGATTCCATCATTCCCCCACATCGGCCATGTCTGCGAGATGCGGGGTTGTGTATGACGCCAAATCCTGTAAAAGGGACAAAGCGAATGTCTCCTCAGTATGAATTGTCCAGAACACTTTCTTTGAGATAACTTCATCAATTCCATCATTTTCTGTGATAATTGAACACGCCTTGTACCTGATATCGCACTCCGCTATTAGCAGTGCTCTCAGTAGTTCATCATGTCGCACCTGCAAGCTTCGAAATTGTTCTCCATCCAGGGATGTGTTGCTGTTGTGACCGGAGCTGGAAGTGGTGAGACCCCTTAAGGAAATCGATCCCCTTATGTGACATGCGTTGTCGTTTGTTCTCCACCACTGCAACTCGATTGCGTTCATAGATTTGAAAGAAGATCCTATAAGCACTGACATAGCCTTCAACAGGATTGGGACGCACAATGGCCCTTGCACTAGATGCAAACAGTGCCTCGAAAGTCTTCATCATCGGCCGACGCGAAGACAAGCTACAAGAGACTGCATCCCTCGCAATCAACAAAACAATCATAACGGTCAAGGGCGACGTCTCATCCAAGGAATCACTACAGGCGGCCTACGATACCATCGCATCTCAGACGGACCATGTCGACCTCTTGATCGCAAACAGCGGTGTGATGGGTCCTTCTGCTCGCCCACCAGCCGCAAAAGAGGACGGGTCAAAACCAAGTCTCTCAGAAGTCCGTGATCAGCTATGGGCTGTACCCATGGAGGATTTTTCCAAGGTCTTCGATATTAACGTTACAGGGGCATATTACACTGTTCTCGCTTTCCTGCCTCTGCTTGAGGCAACGAATAGGAGGAGACCGGCACCTGAGAAGGATAAGCTCTCTCCGCCGACTGCGCAGGTTGTCATCACCAGTTCGATTGCGGGTCTCATTCGGCAGGTACCCTTCAGTTTTGCGTACAGTCTTTCCAAATCTGCAACAAATCATCTTGTCAAGATGCTTTCGACTACGCTGAGCTCGTACGACATCCGAGTCAATGGCATTGCGCCAGGCCTGTATCACTCGGAGATGTCTGCGTCAGCATTCGAGGGCGGAGATAAGGGCATTTCTGACGGGTCGTTCCCGCGCGAAAGGATTCCTCTCACAAGGGGTGGAAGTGAGGAAGACATCGCGGGTCTGATTCTTTGGCTGGCGAGTGCTTCCGGTGGCTACATGAATGGCAGCATCATCGTCACTGATGGAGGACGAACCGCAGTTCATCCGGCATCGTATTAGAGGCGCTGGGAAGCGCAGAGCACTTTACACATATAGGCCAGGTGCCAGGTACCAAGTGGCATGATGGTGCAGTCATAGCGCTTTAAGTGAGTAGGTTGTATTGTTCCATATCAATTTTCGTATAGAAAGAAACTTAATTATACCATTAGTGCTCAGTCTTGCTAGAGATAAATAAGAACGCTGAACGTAAACACGACTCCGTTGGAAATGTACGTCAGTAATAACAGTCAGACTAGATGGTTGCCGTCAATCGTTGCACAAGATAGTCTCCGGTGGTAATTCCGGGGTATTTCTTTGCCTGGCTAGTTTCTTCCCCGAATGTCCCCGGTAGGGCCTCAATAAACTTGTTCATATTCGGATTGCAAAAGTATGCGATACTATATCGCGCCGGGTATGTATCTGAGCTGTCATTGGCGTCGACACCTACGATACTCGGAGGCTCGACAACCCGATGACGAGTGCTCTTGATGATGTCGTTGGACCACCGAGCTAATAGGTCACCAGCATTGACGACGACTGTATCTGCAATAGGCGTAGCATCGACAAAGGTACCCTTAGGACTCCGAACCTGCAGCCCTCCACGACGATCTTGGAACAAAAGTGTGATAGAACCATAATCG